AATGAAGGTGAAAGTGAGTTTGAACCTAAAGCAGGAGATATGCTTGAATGACAGGAAGGTTATTTTAGAAGTTTTGGAATGGTCCTATAGGAATCTGAAGCAAGACTTGTTGTCAGGTACTGATACAGACATTAAAGTTAGGTAGGAGGGAGTTGCCTGAGGCACTGAGGCTTTGGTGGATGTGGAGAAGGAAGGGATTTGTTGTGTGCTTTAGTGTATGTCAGGGTTAAGCAAGCAAGGCCAGTGTTAACCCGGAGCCTTCCAAATCTTGATAAAGTCTTAACTTTTCAGTTGGAGATCTTTTGGACAAGTTTGACAATTCTCTCTCTAATACTTGTTTTGACAGAGCTCAATTTTCTGATAGAAAACTTGCATCAACGTGTTCTCATCTGGCTCTTAAGATTCTTTTTTTCTTTCTCATTGCTATTGTTTTTTAGTTCTTGTATTTCCTCTGGTTTTGAGTGGAAGAGAAAATACATTTAACATGTCAAAATTTATTACTTTCTCTTTAAAGAAGCTGTATAAAGTGAAAATTGTGGTTTATGACTTAATATTTGATCCTTTCTAGCCTACAAAATTCGAGCGGTCGTATATTCTTCAGCTTACTTCTGTCAGTAAGTAAGTACTTACTCTCTTTGAGTGCTCATCAGAAGCGCTCACCATCAATAATGGAGCTGCTCAAAGGGTGATGATTTCAAGTCCAAGATACACGACTGTGAGCTGTGTTTCAGGAATGCGATAGAGAATCTGGACAGCCAGAAGCTACTGAAACAAGTCACATGTTGTTAAAAAGCAATCGGCAAATTGGTTAAGAATCATTGTCGTTCCAGCAACTTCCCTATGTCTTGACATGATGAAATATTTACTAAAAAACAGGAGACTCAATTGCATCATTCACAAGTGTTGTGAGGTTTTTAACCTATTTTCTCCAGTGTAAGAAAGTTTTTAATTTGAACTTATGTAATGCTTAAATAGTTGGCTATGTATAGCTTAATGTTTTGAGATGCTATGCACAAACTGTAATTTAGTTACTCGGGATGTATCAAAGGGCCAGGCATACTCCTTTCTGCCTTTTCTCACTGTCATGTAGCGACAAAAACTTTTGTGGTATTGCTTGTAGATAAGTAATAGGTAAGGAATATGCAGTATTTAAGTGTAATCTGACATTAAATGCGCTTTGCCTTATGTATGATTACTGGCACTGGAAGGGAAACAGGTGTTCAGTTTTCACTGAATCAGAGTCGTGGTTTCACATTTTTTATTTTTATATGTTGCAAAGTACTATTTTTATTGAAACCATGTTCTTAAATAGGTAACAGAATATAGACAAAATATAAATAATGAATAACAAAAACTAGAGTAATGTTTTCAAAGGAATTATTTTATTGCACAATTGCTTGGGGGATGGGGGAGCAGATGCATAAAATAGTGGATAATAGCCCAACAGTGAAATAAGGAGCAGAGGGCATAGTGAAGAAAGGTTTTTAACGTACAGAAGTTACTGAATGGTGCCTGTGATGGTGTGTAGTAAATGCTGCCTTAACGAAAGACAGCTGGGTTTCCCCACAGGGTTGGAATAATTGTCCCCATGGGGAACAAAGCGCTAAGCTGCATGTGTGCTGTTCAGCGCAGAACCGAGTCATTAGTGGTAACTGTCATGCCAGCATTTAACCTGGTGTGGTGGAAGATAACATGTAGAAGGTAATTCTATAGCCAGAAGGAAAGAAGGGCTTTATATTTCCCAACATTGAAAGTCTGTCTGTCTTAAAAAAGCTTGATGGAAATTGTGATCAGCTTCCTTCAGCTACTGTAGGATTTCTTGGATCAGTGGGCTGCTGTCAGTCCACATAAATTGCTGTGGAAAATCATATGCACTCTTCAATTTTCTCCTGTCTTACATGGTTCTGTGGACCAGCTGCAGGCTACTTAAAAGGGCCTCTAAGCCACTGTTTAGAACCATAGAAGCTTAGTAATTTTTGTTTCACTTCTGAAAAGCTGCTTGTTCGTAGACTCCCTGATTTTGTAAGGTAGAAATGGAAGAGAGAAGAGCCAGCAGCTTTTAAAAATCAATGAAACAGTGGGTGCCATGACAACTCAGTTCATCTGAGATGCTGCAAATATAGAAATTCCAAATAAAACAAATTCCTATTTTGTTTACATTTTTAAGATTGCATTAATAGCAGTTTCTTCAAGAGATGCAAACCTTCTTTATCTAAAGAATGTTGGAGGAAAATTTTAAAAAATTCTTTGCAGTTTCCTGAATTGTTTTTTGAGAAGAATTTGTGGGGACTGCTGACCCTTCCTTGTTCCTGAAAACGACATACTTGCAATATACCAGAAGTACTAAATTTGATTTTTCTACGATTGCTTTTTATAGTGGTTAGGGGAAGAATTACTGCCAGACAGCCTATTTTCCCTTTGTCTGAAATTATTTTATACTTTGAGTATAAAATATATTATTTTATAATATTTTAAAATGATTTTATAATATATTTTATAATAATATAATAATAACTATTGTATACTCTGAGTATAAAATATGATTTCAATTTGGACATAAATGCAAAGCTGGCCTTAGAATGCATCTGAGAGAGGCTTCAGAGAGTTGACTGCTATTCTGTAGGGCTGATATTTTTATGATGAAATGCAACATCAAGCAGAATTTTTTACAAGTCTGTTTGAATGTTGGCATCAACTGATAATTTAAACAATGTTTATTTCACATATGAAGAATTAATTAAAGAAAATCCCACCATTCCAGAGTTGTCAAGCCAGCTTGAATTAGTGAACATGGAAGTACATGACCAGAGCTGAAGAGAAATAAAAAATGCATCACGACACACTGGTATTGAAACAAAATTAGTCCTTGTGGAACTAAAACAATTGACAACATAATATAATAATTGCAACTTGTAAAATGGAGGCAGAGACTTGGGTTTCTGTGCCGATATGAAGCAATTACATTAACACCTTAAATGCATGTAGGTGTTCAGACATTAATGTCAGATTTGTTTATTAAATTGTGCAAACTTTCTATATTTTGTAGGAAATGTGCTCTCAGTGGACAAAGCAAGTCATGCAAGCATAGAATCAAATTAGGAGATTCAAGCAGTTATTACTACATTTCTCCTTTCTGTCGTTACAGGGTGAGTAGATTTACTGTGATTTCGTTTTGAATAGTAGTTATTTAGTTGGTTTTCCGTACTATTATACAAAATGATATTAACCCCCATTATTTTTATATGAATTCAGATCACTTCTGTGTGTAACTTCTTTACGTATATTCGCTACATCCAGCAAGGACTGTTGAAGCAGCAAGATGGTGAGTAGGAAATTGTATTTGGCATATATAAGAAGAAATTTACATAGTGCATGTGCCTAAAACTTGCTATCTGTGCACAATAGCAGTGACCTGACGTTACAGGAAAGCTGTTTGTTGGTAGTCATTGTTGTAATTACAAGACTTTGATGATATCCCACCCTCCAATAAATGTATTTTTTTTAACAAAAAATCAAAAAGCAGTGATTTTTTTTT